TCCCTTGCTTGAAATGAGACAGAAAGATGCAACTTCTGTCTGGTCAGTCTTCTTTATTCTGCTAGCAAGGAAGGTCATGATTCTTACCGTTTGTGTTGGAATAGGGAACAGGAGACTCCTCACAGCGGTAAAGAGCATGAGGCTTGGAGTCCTAATTCTGCCACTCTCTAGCTATGTGACTTAGACAGAATGCCACTTGCTCACCCCACAACTCAGTTTCCCTATCTGTAAAATGGGGATACTAACAGTGCCTATTATCACAGGGTTGATGCGAAGGTGATGCATTTTGGGAACAATAACAATGCCATGTAATATTTACTGAGACCCAGAAACTGGGTTCCAGAGAGGTTAGTTAGCCAATTATACAGCAAGCGTCTGAGCTGGATTTGAACCCAAGCAGTCAAATTCTAGAGCTCCTGTCTTCATTACTGCCTCCCCATTGATGTAAGGACCCCACATAGCACCAAGCCCATGGGAGCTGCTGTTTTTATTATTGTAACTGATTTCTACAGGCTCTGGAAATGGAAGGACATTTTAGAGGTGTAAATGCTCTAAAGAGGTAGGAACGAGGCGGGAAAGTTCTTTAAAGTCTTTGCTCCCCCCAGCCCCCCCATTAACTACACTTAGGGCAGCCACACCAGGTCCTTTCCCATGGGAAATAGCTGCATTTTGTAGCACAGCTGTAAGTTGTGAATTATTCCTTCCCATTTGAAGCTGGGGGACAATATACACTCATTCTGACCCAGCACTTAATTGTAAATTGTCGTCACTCACTTTTTCGTATAAGCAGAAGTGCCCTAATCACATGGTTATTCGGTAACTCCCACCTTTCAGGATCTTAAGAAAAATGAAAAAGGAAAACAAAACAAAAAACCAACCCAGTCCTGCTTTTACAAACTCATTTGTGGCTAGCTCAGTGATAAAGCCTTCCCTCCTCGCCCGTGTCAGCTTTCAGGAATTCTCTGCGTTGTCTGTGTTGTGTAACCCAAGCAGCTTGTTATCTTTGCAGCTTAAAGGCTGACTTGGAAATTCAGGACTGTCAACTATTTAAAGAGAATGAAAGTCCCCACTCTACTATTTTAATTAACTTCCAGAGAGCAAGGTTTCCTACTGGTTATGATGATGTTCACTTAAAATACTCTTAAGGAAACATGGCAGGAAGCTAAGTAAGAAGGGGGAGGATTGCTGTTTTTCAAGGCATTCTAGGAAGAAGAGTTTGAGCAAAGCCATGAAGGGAAAATACTACAGAGTACCTGGAGAACTGAGAAGAGAGGCGTGAACAGATATTAAGGAGTATAAACAGTGGAGTATGGGAAATTAAAGTACATAATACAGATTAAGTAGAGCCTTGATGCCAGATGAGGGTGTTGGAGGGTGGGCGTTTGTGCAATGAGAAACCGTAAAGAGATTCTTGATAGTGAACAACACCAATCACATTTATGTCTCGGGAAGGTCACTGGGGTTCTGTGCAGGTGGCTGTGAGGGATGGCACCAGAAAAGATCTGGAAGCTCACTGGCTATGTGACATTGTTTCCCTGGGCCTGATTTTCCATCTGTTAATTTGGTCAATGGCAGTGATAACATTTGTGGTGGGGATTGAATGAAATCTCACATGGACTTTGAAAATAATGTTGTCGAAAGCACTCACACAAACTATACACACACAGCACCGTGGTCGGGTTGTGTGAGGGGAATGAGGGCTGAGAAAGCAAGCCTTCTGATGAAGAAGAGAGCTGACTAGACAGATGGAGGAGATGGGTGGGAGGGCGAAGGGGAAATCCTCCGAGGTGATTCAAGAGAAAAAGCTGATGTCATACAAGGGGAGTCAGGGAAGAGGAGTTGCTCTGGGGGCTGGGGTGCTGCTGGGTTCAGCTTTGGAAATGCTACATTTGAGAAAGAGGGAGATATTCATAAGGAGTGGGTGGACCAGAGCAGCCTTAAGAAGTAGGTGTTAATCATTGTTTTAATTGAGAAATCCACATTGCCCTGGTCTTGGAAAGAGTTCGGGGACATTTTTTGAGGCTTAAACCTCAGTGAGTCAACTCCGTGAAGTTCTAAAAGCCAACGGCTGCAGCCACTGGCCTGTAAGTCAACAGAAGAGTGGGATTCAGAATGGCCACTGAGGTAATTCTTGATAGAAAACCAAGTTCCCAGGAAGGAGATGCCCTAGCCTATGGTTCTCGGCATCCTCAGTGCCTTGACTGGGGCTGACACGTTAGGCATTCTGTGGGTGTTATTGGATAAAGCTATGAACTTTGTATAATTTTAACGTATCAAGAATGTGTAAACTCCGTTTCAGGACTTTGTATTTTGCCTCTTTAAGGAACTTCTCTCTGCTTGTTTCCACCTGAGAAACATCATGTAAGAAAACAATCACAGATCACCACAATCCCAAATACACCAAGATGTTCATCACAGCATTATTTATATATCAGCAAAAAATGGGAAACAATTCATATTTGAAACAACAGGGAGGTGGTAAATCATTCCATTAATATGATCAAATAAGAAAGTGGAGACTGTAGGAACTGTTCTACGTGCTTTGCAAATATTAATTCATTTAATACTCATAGCAATGCTATGGGGTGCATACCATTAAGATAAGTTCCATTCTACAGATGAGGAAGTTGAGGGCTCGGACAGTTTAAATAACCTGTTCAAGATTATACAGGTAATAAGTAGCAGACCTGGGATCTGAGCAAGGCAGGCTGGTTCTTGTGTCTTTGCTCTAACCATTATACTACATTGCCTCATGGTATCTTTTTTTTTTTTTTTTCTTAAACCAGTTTTGTAACAAATTTTGGGGGAAAAATATATTTTCCCCATTCACAGGAGGAAGCGACCACATCACAGGGAGGGGGTGGGTGATAGCAAGGAATCAAAATTCTGCCTCATTATAAACCCAATGACAAGAGTTCACAGTTCCTTATTCTTTCCTTCACCCCCATCATCGAAAACTAACGCTTGCTGGCAAAACAACTGATAATTTACAAAGTCGTTCCACGTCATTCATCTCCTCAAAACCACCCTGCCAAGTCACGATTTTCATGAACCCCAATTTACAGATGAGCAAGCTGAGGCCCAGAAGGGACAAACGGCTCACTTAGGGTCACATTGCTAGTTTCTTAATGCCCAGGCTCACGTTCCTTCTACAACTCAGTGAGGTTTAGACAATTTCCAAAACAGTGTCCTCCATCTAATCAGCCTAGTAATCACTCAGGAAACCACCAGGCACAAGGAAAATGTAAAGAAGAGGATTGGTTTGGGCTTGGCCAGACTAACTCAACAACCTTGAAGTCTTAGACAGCCTCTGGACTACCCGAGGACCGTCTCTTCCGAGCCTTCAGTCATAGGCAAGAGATCTTCCCCAAGGAAGATCTGTTCCTCCCCTTAATACACTATTCACTTTCTTCAGACCCACCTTAGTCCCAATGGTCTTTTCAGAGGTTACCAAGAGACAGGGCAGGATGTTGATATTGAGGAGGGCTATAATGATACTAGAATAATTGATAATAATAGTCAAAGTGTTCAGAGAGCTTGCTACGTGCCAGAAACTGCCCTGGGCAATGTTTACAACATTTGATCTCCCGCTCTACACCCATTAATCTAGGGGGTAGGTGCCATTTTCCTGATGAGGATATGAGGCTTAGAGAGTGTCCATTACATGGCTGGTGGAGAGGAAATGGGGAAGGAAGGGTTAGCAGTTCACAGACTGCAGAGGGTGAGCTTTCGGCCCTAAAGCCCTCATTTATAAATCAACTTCAGACTCACCCCCCCCCCACATGATGACATTCCTCGCATATCTGATCTTCCTAGGAAATATGGCTCCTCCAAGAAATCCAAGAGCAGAGAACACAGCAGCATGATGTCAAGGATCTAGAAACTCATTTACCCTCCTCTTATCCCCACGTTTTCTTTTAATTAAAAAATAATGGTGTTTATAGATTTTCCTGATATATTTACATATATCAGGAAAATCTATTTTTAAATGTATTTTCCTTTCCCTCAAAGCCTATTTCCTAACTTAAACACAAATTTCTAAAAAAATAACAGCACAAAACAAAGCTAATGAATGTGGTGAGTGGATCGTGGTGTGTTACGTGGACTCCTCAGTCATTTTACCAAACTGAACGGGCAGGTGAGAGGATCTGGAGTTTCTGAGATGAAATAGTATGCCCTGACTGGACGTTTTCAGGCATGGAAGGCATTATTCGGTTATCAGTCCGTTAAGCAGCATACTATTCAAAACCTTGGCTGGGAATGAGTACTTGGTCATCTGTAAATAATCTACCGGTAAAGTTTACTAGGAGTGGAACATTAACATGGTAGAGGTGAGGCTTTCAATGGGTCACTGGCCTGTGGGCTGCTTCTGATTGGAGGCCTTGCCTCCACCTTTAACCGTTTCGATTTCTCCGACTCCAACTACTGCATTAAAAGGGGCAGAAAGGAGCAGGTAGAGCATGAACATAAACACTCTGATGAGGTGGCCAGTTAGGCAGTTAGAACGAGTTAAGTGTCCCAGGGGCAACAATACCACTGGTAGGTCAAGTGTCTGAAGGGGGAGGCCCCTGCAGGGCAGCTGCAAAAAGCAAGCCCCCATTAATCCCTTAACTAAGCAGCTGATGGAGTTTATCTTTTTGTGCATATGTTATAACTCCTCCAACACAGGATTATTTATAAATTTTAAAAAAGTCAGCACGGCTACCAAAGCTTTTTAGGGATTTCTTCATCTTGCTAGCAGATAACAGAAAATAGAACTCTGGAGGGCTTCTGTTTACAATTCACCGTCACTCTGGCTTGAAAAATTCTAAGAAAGCTTCCTTGCTGGATTCATTCACAAAAAGAATGGGTCCTTATTTGAAGAGGGAAGAGATCTCAGTCTCCCGCCTTGAGATCTACTTTCTTTTGAGTTTGCATCCATTGTTATTTAAAGTAACGGCATTCAGCTAGGGTTCAGCTAGGGTTATTTTGCATAGTAATATCAGAAAAGGAACCATTACCTGGAATAATCCCCTTTGGCTTCCTGAAATAAAAAACAAAGATAGATGATCAATATGTATTTATGTTAACTAAGCAAATGAATTTCACTCTTGGTCACGTTTCCCTCTTAAAGTGCCTGAGTTTCGTTTTGAAGGGTGTCCCCGAGGAACACTTTCTCTAGGGCCACGGAGAAGAATGTGGCATTGGTGAGAACACATTAGTATCCATGAAATACTTCATATTCTTTTTTTTTTATTATTCTCAACAGAAGAGACAAATATATCTGAAAAAGCACAGATGATTATGTCTTCTTTTAGGTCTCTAAGATCACGTGATAAATGCTCGTGTATTCGAGCAGCATTTTCTAGTCTGGACACAGACCTTTTAAGCTGGACATAGGTAAATCAACGCGTGCTACTTGTTTTCTCTTTTTAAACCAGCACAGAACACGCTTGGTTTTTCAGCTACTAGCGACTTTAAGCATTAAGGGGCTCTTGCCCTCGACCTCAAGAAAAATGTCTACAAAAGTTACTTAATTTAAATGAAAATTACAGCTCTTGTAACAATTGCTGCTTCCCAAATTCAACTGTTCCAGAGCTCCTTTCCAGAAGTACGGTCTAAATTCTCTTCCCCCAGAGCCGTCTAAATTCCATTTTCCCTTGCGACATACAATACCACCCTATAGCTCATGCAAATTACGCTAAAACAGAAAACGGTGGCTCGCTCACGTTTTTCACTGGCAAACAACCAGCTGGCTTAAAAAATCTATCAGCCACTGGCCCATGAGAGAAAGTTTCAGAGTTGCAGGCAGTTCACAAAAACCAACAAACAAAAAGGCGCAGGCAAGAGGCAGTTGGTCGATTCTTACCTGTAACACAAGCGCTGCTAACTTGAAGATGGTTTCGCTGTCCGCTTCGATTTGCCCCTGTGGGGGGTGGGAAAGCAAAGCGTCACTGGACACAGGCTGCCCTAGGTTGTAGCAAATGGCTGTGGAGTTGGGGAAGCTGTCACAGCTTGGCACCTCCAGTTTACAATCAAACGCAGATCATACCATTACAGGGGAAAGGGAGGGGGGCGTGGAGGGGCGCATCCAGGGTTCAGGGGAAGCCACAATGTGTGTGTGTGTGTGCGTGCCTGTGTGCCCACACTTTAATTAGCTGTGGGGAATTTTGTTTAGAGAGCAGTATTCTGGAAGAAACACAAATGACTTTGAGGCTGAAAATTCAAACAACTTCCCAATGAATGATTTTTATCCCTACAGGTTCATTTTTAAGCTCTGAAGATTTTCTTAGATTTGTTCGTTCTGTGTTTTCCTGAGATTTTTTTTTCTGTGTCACCACATGGTTTTGTTTTGTTTTTTTTTTGGTATACACACAATGCAACTATTATTAAAAATGTAAATTCACTTCAACATCAATGACACATTGTTGAATTAATATTTATAGAGTTAGAGACAAAATGTAAAGCCTTAAGAATCAGTTACAGCAAATACTTAGAGAAGACCAAAATTCTGTTCCATTTTACTGAAATCTGATGAACTCTAATTTATCATTTTACCCATTATTTTATTTTTTTCATCCTTTAAGATCTCCCCCCACACCAAAAATAGGAATTCTGGGCCTTGGAAAACAGGAATGCTTTTTCAGTACCCTGGTAGGGATGCATAAGTGTGTGTGGAGGGAATATTGCCTCTAGCAATGATATTCACATATGCCTTCATTTATTTTGTTAAATATGATCGTATACGTTAATACCATTACTGCATCATATAATATAGTACCACAATGAATGGTATAGCAGGATCTTCATTTTAAAAAAAATTTGTTGGGTGATACACTACCTTGTAAGCATTAACATACACTAAAACAATTCCATATAACCTTGCTTACGTGTTGTATAATTAGTACTTGAAAGTGCAGAGTCTTTGAAACTATGGAACTCATGAGCCTAGAAAATGCCCTGAATTCTTTATTTCTCCCTTTTACCTATTGAATTTGGGCTGAAGAGTATTTCTAGTTGTACCAGGGCATCAATGGTGGGTAATTAAGTAGTTTTAAAGTAAAGGCGAACTAGGTAGGTTCACAGAAGCAGTGAGCTCACTGCAGATTTCTGAAAGGATTATGCTTTTCTCTCACGTTTCCAAGTGATTTGGATTTGGGGTTCTCAAAAATAAAACAAACTAATAACAATAATTCTTCTAAAAGCCACAAAAAAACCCCAAAAACCCAGGGCGTTACAACGCCAGCTGTGCTAATTATGTTTCCCTTATGTCACAAAATGAAAACAAACCAATTTCATCCTGCGACATCTAAGTTTCCTTTCTGAAACCTGAGGCAACGGATCTGCTCCAAACTTTTTGCTCTAAAAGCTGACAGGCCCAGAGCCTTGGAATTCAAAGCTTGCTTCTAATCTCTAGAAACAGATTATAAAATCAAAGAGAAGCCAGGTTGATTGCCCTCTGTCTTTCAGGCAAGAGACAGTGGTTTTCTAATCTGGTGAAAGATGATGAAGCATTTAATCCAACAGGTGAGATGGGAGTTGATCAAGACAAAGTTTTACAACGGTTATATTCCTTATGCTCAAAGGAAAAACAACAACAACAACAACAACTCAGGGAGGGGGTCACAGGGGCAGGAACACTCAAAGACATCTTTAAGTTTGAAATTGCACCCAAACTTAAAGTCCAGTTTGTCTTAAAATCTTACAAAAGAGAAAAAAATGGGTTGTTTCAGATATTAGCAAAACAAAAGCTAAATAAAATATATTGAAAATGACTGCCAACTCTTCTGACCCCCCATGACCCTCTTTGCCTCAGCAGAACCTTAGGTGAGTCATCCAAACAATATTTGAGACATCAACTTTTCAATTTAGTAAATGGAAGTTCAGCAGATAAAAAGGCCTCAGACAGAAACTCTTAAGAATGCTGCCAAATAATTCTCTACCTTAGAAGGGTCATTAAATATTAAAAATGCCGAAATGAGGAGCTGAAGCATGAAAAGTGCCAGGCTCAGACAGCTCCAGAAGAGTGGGGAGGCAAATATGCAACTCACCTGTGGGTTGTTTTTTTTTTTTCCACCTATGCAAGTTGCCACAACACAATTCTGGTGGAGGAGGGTGATGGTGGGCTGGAGGGGTGGGGCCTACCGAACTCCGGTTCCAGGGAGACAGGAGAATCCATGGTTTGGCCAAGCCTTACATTCTTTTATATACTTCAGCCCCTACACCTCACCTTCTTCCTATCCACTGTTCTGGAAATCCAAGGCAACATATTTTGAATTCTAATACTGATTGCCAAGGTTACCTGACTTGCGCAGGGAGCTCACAAAACTGGATCAAGCAAAAATAATACTATTTGCCTCGTTCTCAGCCATTTCGCACGGTGAAATTCAATTAAGACATATACAGAATTCCGGAATTTCATGCCTGAAGTGCAAAAGTTCTTTAGAAATTGCTGTCTGTCCTAGGATAGAAGATTTCTTTTGCTTATAACCATGGCAACGGAGGTAACCTTATAGGGACTGGGCAAGCTAACACTTGAGAGAGGGATCTCCTCAGAGAGAGAGGTAATGGAATCCTTCGTAGGTTTCCATGACTGTCAGGGATAAACAAAGAGGAGCAGAGAAGTGAGTCAGATGATGTGGCTGAATACACAAGGGTAATATGAAACAGTATCAAGTCTTGGTGCTCTACCCTCATGCCTAATTTAGCTGCTTTACGGATCCAGTCCCTAGGTCACTAGGTTCAGGCTCCGCGTTGGACATCTTATTTTTGTCCTTGGCTTGTTAGCTCAGTTGACCAAAACATCTTGCTAATGAGGTAAACTCTAGGTTTTGATTCACAAGTAGAAGAGAATAAAAGAAAGTTTTAGAATCTGAAAGGGAATTTAGTGAAAAAATTACTCATATTATTTTAGAGATGATGGCACTGAGCATCGGGGACATGATGTGTACTACCCAACCCCACAGCCGACCGTGACTCTGGGCTTCTTGTCCAGTGCTCTTTCCATTCCGCCACGCACTAGTTAATTTTCTGACTCCGGTGTCAATCTCTCACCAGGAATCTTCCAAAGGCATGCTTTTGATAAAAACCGGAATCAGAGAAGACTGAAAAATGACTCCAAATGCCCCCTTTCCTGTTGATGGGATGGTAAGTTATCATCAAACATAAACACTTAGAACGGGAGAATTATTTCTGAAGACCCATCTGCTTTTTCTGTATTGATGTAGTACTTCATGGAAACTTAATCTGCACAACCGTGGACATGAATCACTTGCTCACAAACTGCTGGGGGAATTCAGCTTGTTTCCAAGTGTATCACTAATTATCTAGCTATTCTAGGGTTAAGTCTATTAAAAAAGGTAGCTTGTAGAACACCAACAAATAAATGTATAAGAAATGAGAGGAAAACAAAATTATCATTTACAGTCATCATAGTACTAATTATCCACACAATAGTTTTCAATAAATAAAAACGATTGTGTAAAAGTTTGGTGAGAAACAGGACAGGGTATTTATATAATCACAAAGTATCTCTCTATGGGGAAATTTAATGATAAGGGGGAAAATGCTAGCTTTTCAATGGAGAAGTCTGACAGTACAATCTTTTTTTTTTTTTAAGAGTTATTTATTCATTTTAGAAAGAGAGAGAGAGAGCCCATGTGCAGGGGAGAGGGGCAGAGGGAGAATGAAACCCAAGCAGACTCTGTGCTGAGCCCAGTGCAGGGCTCAATCCCACGACCCTGAGATCACGACCTGGGCCAAAACCAAGAGTTGGTTACACAACCGACTGCCCCACCCAGGTGCTCCAGACAGATACAGTCTTAATCAAGTGATAAGATATCACCAATAACTGGACAGACCAGCATCATGTGCCTCCTGATAGTATTTATTGAGAAGGACACAACTTCACCTATATACATGGCTGTGTTGGTAAATGTATATGTTTCACAACCAGAACTTGGAGGAGGGGGGATGATCCCTCATTTGTAGCATCTGTTGATATCCATGGTGCAAATACTCCCTCCATAGCTGATTTCAAACTACCAACATGACCTCACAGAACACGCTGCTGGGAAGTGATGTGAGAATTGGCTCTCACCACTGGTACCAGTACACCACTGGGTAGTATCTCTGCCAAAAATACACCATTAGATCTAATTGTGAGGAAGCATGAGACAAACCCAAATGGAGAGTCATTCTATTAAAATATCTGGCCCATACTCTCAAAAATATCGATAGGATGAATGCCAAAGAAAGGTTGAAGAACTGTTTCGAAGGAAAGGAGACTAAGCAGTCACAACAACTAAATGCAGTGTGTCATCCTGTACCAAGAGAAGTTGTTACAAAGGGCATTATTGGTACAACTGGACAGTACATTGTGCAACAGTATAGCTTCAATGTTAAATGTTCTAAATGTGATTACTGTGACATGGTTACGTAAGGGATGTCTTTGATCTTAGGCACGATATGATGAATTATTTAAGGATAAACAGTGTAACTTACTCTTAAATGATTCAGAAAAAAATTACACATCTGCAGGCAAGGGAAGGGAGTGCAAATGTGGCAAAATGTTAATGACCGGTGAATTTAGTTTGAGGGACATACCCCATTTTTTGTGCTATTCTTGAAACTCTTCCATAAGTTTGAAATAATTTCAAAATAAAAAGTTTGTAAAAAGCTGACATATTTTCCCAGAGCGCTGGATATCTATTTGTCTTGACTGCCTGGTACCCGTCCCCTTTTCTGGGCAGAAGAGCCTAGTCTTTTCAGAACTGCTTCTTTCCCTACTGGCTTGTGTGCAAACACAATCATTGTTCTGTGGACAAGCAACGGAAGCTGGTCCAAAGACAGTCCCAGGAATTTTCCAAATTAGAGCCGAGGGAAGAAAGCTCTCTCCCACTGTGTCTCAGGGCAAAGTTGGGCAGA